GCTGCTGCTGCTGCTACGGCTGTTGTTGTGGCATTTATGAATTCATGCTTTCAATTGCAACTAGCAACAAAGAAACTCTCGAGTGTGCTGCACCCGCGCCCAAAACCGCAAACGTTTGCACCTAATTAGATGGGGGCCAAGTCTCTAAAGAATATAAATTCAGACTTCAAAAGACTCTCTAGCTATCTCTCCCTCTCTTTCACTCTCTGTGAGAAACTTTGCGGGCCATCAACGCATCAATTCGACTCGTCGTTGCTGTCATCAACAACATCTCAGCTAACTGCAGCCTTAACTACAACATTTACTGTTCGTACCGCTACGCACTGGGAAGTGGGCAATCGAGCTGAGCTGAGCCGGACTCTGGCTGCCTCTGGCCTGGCCCAAGTTTGGTCTGTGTAATGGAACTGTCGACAGTTTGTTGTTTGCAGTTCACAGTTGTTGCTTTTGTTGTTGTTCGCTTGTTATTGAGGTGGCCCCATTATATAGCATCCTTTGACAGTGCATTGCACTTGCAACTAGAGATGGGTTTTGCCTCAGGCTGAAAAACGTAGCACGATTCGGAGCTTATGGATATTGAATTATAGGCAACAAGTATTTTTACCACGGTACGACTCTGGTTAAATATATTAGACAAGTGTAAACAATGTTTCAAATATTTTACCCATTCGAATAGAGACATAGAATTCATCTAAAACGGACTCCAAAAAACATACTGTCATGACTTTTTTTTGGAAGAAACTCTGTCAGCCTTAAAGAATTCTTATACTTCGATAGACTTTTTATTGACCCATGAATGTATTTTATATAATATATCGCTTGCCACACTCTCCTCTTTAGGCTCGTGCTTTTTCGTGTCACGCCTGGCTAGCCAACTCTATTTCGAGCAACTTCAACAACAGCAAACATCAGCAACAACTATTGACGCGCGCGAGCCTTAAACAAGCTGCTAGTTTGTAGCAACAACTGCTAAAAGTTGCAAGTGCTTAAAACTACTCTATGCCTAGAAGAGTTGAGGGACTAAGTGAAGAACTTTGATATAAGTCATTTATATATGCCTGTGTGATAAGTTAATCTAATAGAAAAATATCTTTGATTATACTACACCAATCAAACTCGGTTTCCCATAAGAACTCCTGCTTCCTACAAACATCTTAGAGTATTTCAAAGCCAGCTTGAGTGTCTGAGAAATGTCTAGGCACTCGTATTATGTTTTATTGACAACTTGTGATCATGATCAGTGCGTAATGAGTGTTCGCTTTATCTCAGGCACTTGTTGGACGCGCCAATTGAGTTGGGTTGGCAAGCCCAACCTGCTCCAACGTGCTCCTCCCTCCCCACCCCCCCACTCTTCTCCGCTCCAGCGCAGTTGTAGCTTGCAGCAAACTGTGAAACGGTCACTGGGCCCGTTTCAAGTGCCAAAAACGTGGCAGACGCCTGTCACAACAGGCGCTAAAACAAACAGCCCGAGAAACTGTACGAACGCTAACCAGCTAAAGGAGGCCATGATACAGTGCCAGTTAAATGCTAACCAGGAACAGCCACAGCTACAGCCACAGCCACAGCAACAGCCACAGCTACAGCTGGCAGCCCTTTCTCATTTCTCTCCGGGACGTGGACTGTGAGGCCGGAGCTCTGTCAGGCGGCTGACAAGCGTGCATCATCGGTCCAAAAGCGCGCTTGTCATGATGCCAAATTTTTGTTAAGTTTTTGGCCAAGCCTGTGCGTCAGAGCTGGACAGAGCGCACCAGCTGGACACGAAAGCTGCGCAAATCCAACATAAATAATGCATTTTGCGATCACTGCCAGCGACCACATAGTGTGCTCGCACTGCTGGGCAGTACAACAACAGCAAAAACAGATGAGAACTGACACTCAAGCCGTATTTGGGTCAGTGGGGTCTTCCGGTGGAGCAAGTGGAGAGTCATTGCCATTGCCGTTGCCATTGCCTGTAGATGAACTGTAGCCAAATTAGCTGTCAAATTGGCGATGGCAATGCCGATGTGCGTTAATTGTGTTGTCAGCGAACGGAATGGCAGATAATCAGAGACTCTGTCTCACACTCTCTCTCTCTCTCTCCGTCTCTCTCTCTCTCTCTCTCTCTCTCTCTCTCTCTCTCTCTCTCTCTCTCTCTCT